GGGGAGGTTATGACTCAAATGCCACACACTCTCACTGTTCTAACCAAGTTTCGGTAGATTCTCTTGAGTAAAAGTTTCTTCATTTGCTATCTGATTTTAAGACAATTTCAAAAGATTTAAGCACAGTTTTCACTAGTTATGATTGTTTCACAGGAGAGTGGGTCTGGGGAGCTCCTCATGCCCCCATCCCAGAAGCGCAACTCCCCTTCGTGTACTTTTTAAAACTTGTCGTGGTAATGATGTCTCCCTGTTGCCCTGGGGTGCTGTCTTTTGTAGTTTTCCAGCTTCTTGCCCACACCTTTGTAAACAGTCCTTTCATTAATGCTCCTCAAATTACCCAACTTGACTATTCCATATGTTTCCTGCTGCAATCCAGACTGACGCAACAGGAGCGTTGTGAGGACAGAGGTGACACAGGCTTGTCGTCATCCTCTCCCTCCGTCTGCCCCACTCCTGCTGACTCGGTCACCCCAGAGCTTTAAGAGCAGGCCCAAGGCAGAAGAGCCGTGGGCGAGAGGTGGGCTACGCAGTGAATGGCCCTTGTGGTTTCTCCTCGACATGGATCAAACCGATCACATGGCATGAGATCCAGGCACGGCAACTGTGGTCCCAAAGCAAACGGGCAACTGGCGTGGAACTGGCGGGAGGGGGCCTAAACCCCTCATGAGCCCACCTTTAAGGAACCTTATTGGTTATAAATGACCCAGGAGCAAACGGAGCAGATTTTAAAAGGGTGGGAAACAGCAAAAACACAGGTGAAATTTTAGAGTTCTGACTTAGCCACCCTGGTACAGTTTCCACCCTCCTCAATGACTGTGCTTCTCCCCTGAGAAGAGTCACGGGAGGAGGGGAAGCTTGTACAAGTAGGAGGTCCAGGTATGATGAGGGTGAGACCCTCTGCCTTCAGGAGCCCATGTGTCCCTTCAGCACACTGACCTCGTTCCTCATCCCAGTGAGAAACACAGCCCTTGCCACCCCAGAGCCAGCATCTCCAGGGAGTAGATTGTCCTCTAACAGCCTCTCTTAGACTTTCTCGCTTCTGCCAAGTCTTGATCTCTCTTCTGAGTACCTGCTCCTGACATTACCGCCTCTTATACCTCGCTGCCCTTTGCCACAGCCCTTCGCTTCTTCCCTCTATTAATGAAAGTGTGGGGGTAAAAATGGTAACTGTAGCACAGAACAGTAACAACTTAAAACCGAATATCAGCCACCACAGCCCTGGACACCCACCTGCCCTTCCCTGCCACTTGGAGTCCCCTCTGTCCAGGCCAGAGTCTCGCCCTAGCTGCTAATGGCTCCCTTCCCACACGTCTTCTTTCACTTTTTTCCAAGACTCTCTTACTCCCCTCTTTGGCTCCTAGCCTCCAATTCCCAAATTCCCATACCAGTCTTTAAAGAATATTTTGGTCCTCTAACTGACCCCCCAACTCTACCACTAAGTGTGATCATATATCAAAAGACTTACTGGGATTTTCTATTCAGTAAAGAGCTATCTGCTTAGTTCTTCACCTTTCCGTGGCCCAAAGCATCTGCCAAAGCTTTCAAATTTAGTTTTCCCTTTGGATGATCAAATTTCCATGGAGAGCTTCCATTAAATATTTCATTGCCTCAAACAGGTTGGGAGTCATTATTACATGTTAAATTTTAAAATCATGTTCCTCAAATTTGTTGAATGATCTTAGAATCGCATTGCCCTCTGTCCTGCTCTTCCTTGTAACTACTGATGAAACTTTGGTGCTTTATTCCTCCAAAATGCCTCTAGCTGTGCTATTTTGTACCTTTTCTGTTTAATGTTGGCAATTCCTTGCAGAACTTTTATAGTGAATTTTTTTATCTTTACATTCTGTCCAGAGCATTACTAAATATAATAATATCCAGATGGAGTTTTTTTTTTTTTTTTTTTTTTTTTTTTTTTTTTTTTTTCCGTGTCC